ATATAGGGATTGGATCCAATGAGTACACATATTTAAAGTGTGAATGTGAGACTCATTCCTAGCCACTAGATGGGTACATGATGTGTGGCCAAGATTTAACTCTTCATTTAAATAATAATTCTTTATTTTTATTACTTATTTTTTTATTTTTATTATTTTAATTATTTAAATATTATTTTGACAATTGACCATTGACTTCGGCGTTGACTGTTGACTTCCGGCAAAAAATCGTTGACTTCTGCCGTTGCCCGTTGACTTCTGGTGTTGACTTTGACGTTGACCGTTGACTTCCGACGTTGACCATTGGCCCCCTAGTCTACATTTTGTATGAAGTAAATATGCATACAGTACTATGCACTTAGTATGAACTAAATATGCATAAGAAATGAGTTATATATGTCATCCTTATGAACTAAATATGCAGCAATAATATCAACTATGTTTGCACTGTTTATGTACTAAATATGCACATTTTACTAACTAAATATGCATCAGGAATGAAGTAAATATGCAACGAAAATATGCAATAAAATATACATTTTATCAATTAAATTAAATATAATAATTAATGATTTCTTATTATATAATTAATTTTAATTTTAAATTGATTAATAACACAAATACATTGTTATGATTGGATCTCAAAATAAAATATGTATACACTGTTCATGAACTAAATATGCATTTCGTAAGAACTAAATATGTATCATGAATAAACTGAATATGCATCATAAATTAACTATATAAATATCATTATATATTTAATTTAAATATAACAAGTATGCATTTTGTATTAACTAAAAATGCATCAGAAATTACCTAAATATTCACAATAAATTAACTAAATAAGCATCATATATAAATTAACTATATAAAATGTACATTTTATTGCATATTTTTTCGCTGCATATTTAATTCATTCATGATGCATATTTAGTTCATAACAGATGCATATTTAGTTAATAACACAAATAATTTTTATTATATAATTACTTTTAATTTTAAATTGATTAATAACACAAATAAATTGTTATGATTGTATCTCAAATAAAATAGTTATGCACTGTTCTTGAACTAAATAAGCATTTCGTAAGAACTAAAATATGTATCATGAATTAAGTAAATATGCATAATAATTAATTATATAAATATTATTATATATTTAATTTAAATATAACAAATATGCATTTCGTATTAACCAAATATGCATCATAAATTACCTAAATATTCATAAAAAATTAACTAAATATGCATCATAAATTACCTATATGAAATGCACATTTTATTGCATATTTTTCGCTGCATATTTAG